TATAATTGTATTCCTTTCACTGAGAGGGTTGTGACAAATGGGAAAGATCAACAAACACACGTGCATAATTCCCGTTCCAATATGCCAAAGCGCGAACCTCGACTACAACATGTAATGCTACACATCCACTGCGAATCAAACAATAGTCACCATTGTTCACTGCAAACTACTGTAGAGAGCGGTAAGCCGTTTCCATATAAGTTTTGCTCCAATACAAAATAACTATAACAAGAATTCACAATGAATTCAGCGTCGGCCCATGCGTTCGCAGCAGTGAAGCTTTTGGAGCAGGCTTCTTTCTCAGGCAAGAAATTGCTCCGTGGAATTCTAACTGCGTCCCTTTCACTGAAAGGGTTGTCTACACGCATAAGGAAAACAGAAAGGGCTACAGTTGCTTATTGTGTGTGTTTAAAAGCCGGAATATGTATTACAGGACTAGCATGGTTGAAGGCTGTCAAGGGAAGGAAGATGGACGCTGAGAGGGGTATCATTCAATTATTGAATTCTAATTGCATTCCTTTCACTGAAAGGGTTGTCCAAGGGCCCAAGTAGAACACTATCTTATCGATGCTCCCCTAACGCCGGCAATTTTAGTCGTATGGTTGAATGGTTTCAGTAGAAGGAAAACAAACACTTACAGGGGCATTCTTCAATTCATTGAATTCCAAGTGCATCCCGTTCACAGTAAGGCTTGTTTTTTGCAAAGGCCTAAGGAGAACGCTTTTTGTGTCTCTCAAAAACCAAGAACTTTACGAGGTTAGAGCTATGGCGGTATGATTGAAAGCTTTCAGTAGACGGAGGATAGAAACTCAAAGGAATATGTTTGAGTTCTTAGAATTCTAACTACATTCCTTTGATGGTAAGGATGGCCTCTGGCACGGTTTTCAATACAAATGGTGTCCTCTGTCAAAACTAACTTACTTTGCAGTAGTTCGACAAAGAATATCCATATACCGCATAAATGGTATACCGTATGTAGATTGTTTATTTGCAGCAAACCTGACCACTAGCTGATAGCTGCAGGTGAAGACTTCCCAGGACTATGCAAGGGCGCGCAGGTCTACGAAGCCACCTGATGATGTTGATCCTCCACTAGCTCCTCCTAGTGAGCCACCGCAGGAAGAAGGTCTCTCTGACTTGGCAAAGCACTCCTTAGTACCTTAGTTGTACTTTCCCGTTTGCAGTGCTATACAATACATACACTAATATGTTCTCTTGGTTTAAGATACTGTAGGTTCATTGTGACTAGCCTACTGACTAGCCTCAGCCCATAAAAAAAAAGACCACCAAAGCAGCCACATGATCATCCGTAAGCCACTCAACCACAGGTCCACTGCCAACTATCCCAAATCCAGTGCAAACTGTGCCCCCGTGTCTCAACGGCAACTGAGGACCATATCACCATTTGCAAGGGCTTTGTCAAGGTCAAGTTTGAAGGCAGCATACGCAAGTTCCAAAACAAGACCTATGACAAGACGGGTGATCAACGCTTGGCTATCTGGTCTTCTGAGGTCTACGAGGAGAATGTGAAAAAAAAAACTGAAGGCCTTTGAGACAGCTTGCATACTCAAAAACCCCAAAGGCCGCAAAGCATTGTTGGAGTCTACTGGGTGTGAGTCCAAACATTGGATGAAGGGTCGACACTCCGCGATTGCCGTCCAACGAACGGCATTGTTGAGATCTTGGAGGATTACATTCTCACTGAGGTCCTCAGCAAGGCTGTTGGTGATATGATATGGGCACCGACTGTATGAAGGTGAAGGCCAATGCAACTGGTTTCACTGCATCCTTCCAAGGTTCCAAGCAGGTCATTGAGCAGTCATTCAAGTCTTTTGGTGAAAGCGTGGATTGGATGATGGCCATGCAGGCTGCAAATAAGGCGATGGATGGAGTGCATATTCTAACTGCGTTTTCTTTTAAAGGTACTCGCAAAAAGAAATGCTAAAGCCATTGTAGGACAGTAAGTAGTGTTGAAGCTTTGTAGTGTTTACACTGCATTATAGTGTTTTTTTACAGTTTGCCTGCTCCGGTAACCTGCAGGGTGGGCGGCTTCCCAAGTCCATGAGGGCAGTGGTGGCTAGCAGTGAGGATGAGGTGAAGGCTGCCAAGCTCATGCAAACTCTTGCCAAAAAAAGGTGACATGTAGAAATTCTTCAAGATATTGGCACGGTCTCAGAAGCCAAGCCCGACCAACTGGACCAGCTGCGGGATGTCACTGCAGAATTTTTGGAAAGCAGCCAGCCTCATGGTCCGGAGCTACCTCCAAGCCCTATCCATGCATACAAGGGCCTGATACGCCGTTTAGCTGAAACTTCTGACTCGACCCAGGTAGGTGTACTGGCTGGCCGAGATGAACCGGTGCAAGAGGTGATACTTGCACCAACTGTGCTGCAAGTTATGGAGAACCCATATGTCATCAGCCGGTGGAAAGACTTCAAATATGAAGTACTGGGCATGGTTTCATGGTGTGAGGGTGGGCGTGAAGAATGTGAGAATCAACTCCAGCAACTATGGGATGCCAGGATCACATGCTTGTCCTTGTCATGGCTGGCATGGAATTTACAAAAGCATGGCTTGCAGAAAAGGACACCGACTCGGGCAAACTATCCTTTCGAGCTGTGTGTGTCACTAAGTCAGGGGTCAACCGCCAGAAAGGTGACAACTTTGTGGTTCTGCCTGCTACGCAAGTTGCAGTAACACTCCAAGACCGAGCGCCTTTTGACAAAAGCAGCTAACACTGTACATGCAGTGCTGTAGATACAAACACAGAAAGAAATATATATATATATATACAATGAGAGATATGATACATGGTGCAATACAATACTGTATACAGTACAGTACTGTAGTATGTGTTCATATGGCGTACTGTACGGTAAGACTCTTTTGAAGTACATAGTACTGTACACTGTACAGTATATTGTTTTCAATGTCCCGTAAAGAATAAACTGCAAATTGACCCGAACTGAGTCAGTCCGTGCCGTATGGCAGGCCGTTGCTTTGGTTTCTTCCGCTCTGTCAAGGAGTTTGCTGCTACAGCCTCTACAGCCATTCTCAAGGGCACCACCGCCTATGAAAAGCACTGTGTACCGCCGGATGGTTTGTGCTGCTTCCATGCTATTTTGGGAAGCCTGGACAGCTTGGAATTTCAAATGTGGAATGCGGTATCCCGAACCGAGCTTGGTTATGCAACCAACCGCAGGACCGCCAATTTAGAGGCTGCCAAAGCCCATGCTCTCAGGGACCTAGCAATTTCCAGCACAGATGGAACAAACCCATTGTTGCTGAGCATGGCCACTACAGCGAAGGAGCATCTGTCAGTTGACGTTGGTGAATTATCATGGCTTGGCACAGTGTTGAACTTGTCCATCCGCTGCACTATTGATGACGAGGCAGGTCTGTTTGTATTCTAACTGACGTTTTTGTTGATGGTTAACATTCAAAGAACTGATGCCTACAGAAAGGTGGATTGTTCAAAACATTATTTCATAACCATAAAACATCGTACAACCCTTCTCATTTGATTACAAAAAACATTTACAATACAGTACTGTACACTATACAGCACTAGTTTTGAGGAAGTCTTTAGCTGAAAGTACAGGAGAATACCGCACAGAAGTCTTGTAGCGGCCATTGCCCCAGGCATATTTGCACATCAAGAAGTTCTCGCTGACAGCAGTCAAGAGGGATGCCATCTACGGCATGGATCGGATTCCAGACGTCCACCTGCTGTTTCAGTGGCTGGTCAACACAGAGACAAACCAACATTACTCCCACTATGATATCCTAGTCCCGGCTTCTGAAAACACACTATCTGCCAGGACCGCCAGGACACTACACCTGCCAGCAACAGCCACCTTTCAGCTGTTGCTTCACCTTTTACACTGAACATCCATCACATTCAAACAACGAGCAAGCACAGCAACAAGGTGAGCCGCTCAAACCACAAGCAGAGACACCAGCACTGGCAAACACACCAGCAAACGGGGATGTAAGTGACCCGCAAGCACGGCCAGCATCACCAGAAAAAACAGAGGTTGCAAATCACCCTTCAGCAAAAGCAACAGCATCCACAGCAGAGCCAGCAGCACAACACCATGGTGAGCCGCTCAAACCACGAGAGCCGTGACATCAGCATTGGCAAACACACAAGCAAACGGTGAAGAAAGTGAACCACAAGCACCGCCAGCATTAGGAGAGACACCAGAGGCGGCGCGTGACCCATCAGCAAAAGCAACAGCATCCACAGCAGAGCATCAAGAACATGGACGGGCAAAGGCAGAAGCACAGCACCACATTGAACCGCTTGAACCACAAGCAGTGACAGCAGCATTGGCAATTACACAAGCAGGTGATGTACGTGAACCACAAGCAGAAGCACCACAAGCACTGGCAGAGATCTCAGCAAAAGTGACAGGTGACCAGTCAGCACCAATAAAACATCCACAGCAGAACATCAGGAACCTGCATCTGCAGGTACAGGCACAGCCAGAGCGTGAACCACCTGAAGAAGAGCAGCTTGTTTTGGTGAGACTAGCTCATGAGTACTTGCAGCAATTCCTGAGTCTTGGCTCTTTGTTCTTCACCTGGCAGCCTAAGAAGTCCATGAGAACAGACTCCGTGAGTTTGTGCGTTGTCGAAGTTGCTACTGACATGGTCCACGCTACTGCAAAGCTTGAAGAGGTTTTGGTTGTGGAGAACTTTTCTCAACTACGCTCACTGGCAGCCTTCCAAGGGGCAAGCCCACAGCAGAAGAGCACATGGAGAAACTGTGACTTGTACAGCACCATATTCTAAGTGTATCGTTTTTGAAAACCTGCCCTAGCCTACAATAGAATTCAATACAGCAAGACTAATCTTCCAAGAATAGTGTCCACGATACCATACAGTGCTGTGCAGGACTAGTATGTTTCCTTTCAAGAACCACTGCAGGCATCGTATCACAGACGAAGCGCTTGTGCCTTTGGACAATCAGTGAGATTGACAAGGTCACTGAGCCCATGGTGGTGGAAACTGGGCGTGGTCGATCGCAATATATAACCTCCAATGATTTGAAGAGTGCGGTTACAAAACACAAATCTTTGACTTTAAGTTTGACGTCTTCAGCTCAGTACTTTGTGGACCGGCTGTCACCAAGAGACCGGCGCCTATTGCAGGAAAACCTTCAACTCCTAGATGGCAAGCGAGTGACTTTTGGTTCTACATGCAGTGGCACTGACGTCATTGTCCCAGTGGTGAAGCATACCTTTTCAGAACTTAGCAAACTCTTCAACGTGCCGCAGCTCACTAAGTTTGTGGTTCTCTATTTTTTTGACTGCTTTGAACCAGGACCCACCAATTCCCATGCGACCGTAATTCAAAAAACATGAATATGTTTGTATTCTAACTGCATCCCTTTAATTGTAAGGTATGCTAAGGAAAAACGTACAGTAGAACAAATTCCCGCAAAGAGTTTTCAGTTTCCATGCAACCAAAAGAGTAGGAGGCTCAAGCAAAAATCAGAGCACTCCAAGGTGTCCATTCAGATTGTCCATATTTTCAGCGTGGAGTCCCACAAGCAGAAAAGGAGTTTCATCAAGGATGCCCATAGCACTTCCGATGTCCATCTTTTCGATGATGCTGCAATCTTCAGGGATGGAGGTGAAGCTTTTGGTGATGTCTGTCAACGATCTCATGAGGTTCCATCTGCAGTTGATATTTTGATCTCCGGACCATCTTGCAAGAACTTCAGCAAGGAAAATCAGAAACGGGCCAACTTTGCTTCATGTAACTTGGCTGGGAGTTCAAATGTCTTGCTCCTGAAATAACACCCCACATGCCTTCTAGCAAGCAGGGGTGACCCACACAGGTGCTGATGAGTAAGCCTGCACTAAGCCATAGGAGGTACTAACACTTCTTTTTGTGGTGGACCTCACGAAGTTTTGATGGCTCCCGCGGTTTCTTAGCAACATGTCAAATACTATGAAGGGTAATGTGGAAACTTACTCTACAGTACAGTATAGTATATCTAAGGTTATGAGGATGGAACCGGCTGCAGCGGATTTACCCACGAAAACGGAGTGAAGAAAGCTGCAGAGACAATGTGTTCCTGCAGTGGTGCTCTTTGAGAACGTGACAGGGCTCATGACACATGCAAAGATGAGAAAGGAAATCCGATGCAACCCCAGATCGAGGCATGGAGACAATACTGTACAAAGGGTGTGTTCCATACAGCTTACCATATTCTATTCTATCTGCACACAAAAAGGCCTTCACACAATGCAGTGCGCACGCACAAACCTGGCAGGTGGTGACCTCTGATTTGAAAGAGTTGGAGTATGTGTTCCAATATTCCAAGCTCGATGCAAGACGCTTCCTACTTCCACAACGGTGGACCAGAGTTTATGGGACGGCTGATCTGGATGAAGGGCAATCACAGCAAGACTTCCGTCAGAGAATGTCAGAGACACTGTCGGATTTGTCGAGTGACATTCATTTCGATCATGGTCAAGTCTTTGAGGAGGGTTTGGAAACGACGGCTTTACAGGGCAACGCTGCGCGTGTGGTCCAAGCTGTGGAAAAGGGACGCCTCCACAATGAATCCAACGACCTGTATGCGGACACCAGTAGCTCCCACTCTAGGGAGGTTGAGATGTCATATGGAGCTGCCGCTTGTGTCAGACCTACTCATCCAATATACTCTGTGAAGCGAGAGAGATTTCTTACCGTTGCTGAGCTGTGGCGGTGTCAGGGTCTGTTCAGGGATAATTTTGAAAGACCAAAGGCTGTGGACCAGATACTGCAGCAGCCCAAACTTGCCCAGGATTTATGCGGGAACAGCTTTGCAAGCACCTGCGCGCAGGCTCAGCTGATAGCAAGCCTTTGTCACTGCAAAGGATGGAAAAGTCTAAGTGGTTGTGCAGTTCCATGCCCAGATCAGCGCCTGGCAAGAGGTGATTCTGAAGGCACAGTTCCTTATAGGGCTCTCTCTCCTGCATCAATTTCCAGTGATAGGATCACTCCCATGAAGAGAAATCTGCATGACTATGGGGAGTCTAGTGGCAAAAAAGCCAAGTTCCCTCAAGCACCAGCAGCTCCACCCTTCGAGGCAGGACAGTGAGTGTCTACTGTTTGTATCGCATTCTCTATGGGAAGTCTACTACAATGTTCCTTTTGAAAAAAATACTTGTTCCATCAAATTTACTTTCACATTCTATACTGTTTCTATCAATTTTACTTTACAATTCTATTATTTTCCCATCAGTAGTCCAACAAATATCTATACTTTTGCTATATTTTGCGCTGTTTGATGATATTTGACTGCTCCTTTAAAGCATTGTAAACACAGTGCAGTTAGAATATAATTGTGGACTGCCCCTGCCTCACTGCAATGTCTAAACATAGGATAAGCAAACAGCGCAAAATATAGCAAAGGTATAGTAAACTGTCGCTTTGGCTGCAGGATCCTTACTCAGACATCACGTCGGAACATCTGCAAATTTTTGGGACCACTTCCGGATTATTGGGGCAAACCCAGACCTCCAGCTTTCCGGGACATGACGGAAAGTGAGAAAGAAGCCTACTGGGCAGCGTTTCGCGCTATCATGAACACTTCTTGTGAAAATCTTCCTGATGACAATCATAATGAGGCAGCTGGTGAACCACATGAACAAGAGCGCCTAGTGCGGCGCCGCATCACGGGAAAGCAACCGGATTCCTCGTATCCTCGTCCTGAGATGTTGGCAAATGATGCCTTGATTCCTGCTTCAGCCATCTGCAAACAGACTCCAGATGCTAAGCCGCCTTCTTCCTTCCAAGCTTCCAGTGCACTTGTTTCTTTGAAGTCTGTGGAAGCAAGTCGGGCAAGGAATGCCAAACTGACTTTGAAGAAACAGCGAAGTGATGAACTACGAACCAAACGCAGGTATGACCAGGAAAGCCCCCCTGTGTGTCGATTTTCAAGAAGGTTCAGCTTTTCAAGGAGCCTTAGTGAGATTCTTTAGTGTTTTAGCTTTCTTATTGTATGGATTGATCATGTTTACTGCGTTTATTGAATACAGTACACTGGTTTGGGCTGGGTATTCCATCTGCAATGCGCTGCTTGGCACTAAGGAATATGATGAGCTGTGCGCAGATCCGTCGATCAAACATCCTGAAAAGCATGTTGAGAACCAAGCGGCATTCAGGTCAGTATCAGGGCTGTTTCAGTGCCAGCCACTGGGGCAGGAAGAGAAAGATGGACCGATGGGATTTGTTCGTTGAGATTGCTCCGAAACAGGCGAAGGGTATGTCGGAGATACCAAACCGCCTTCGCAACCTTCTTGGAGTACCACTCAAACACCACAACGGGAAGTTCAAAGTTGCAGAGGGGGACTCGCACAATCCCACAGCCTCTAGCTTTGGCAATTAAAGAGCTTCTTTTGGAATGGATCCAACTTGGCGAGGAGGTGTCCTTCGACTATGCGTGGGAGGTCGTACAACAAGCAGTGACTGAGTGGAATTCTCAACTTGAAGCACCTACAAATGCAGTTCGCGAATCGCTGGGGCCCCAATTCCTACGACATCACGATCAGGACCTACCAGAGGACCCATCAAAGGAAGCTTTGCTGGCCGTGGAAGATGCAGCAAATCAAGACTTGAATGATATTCTATCAATGATATTCTATCAATGATATTCTATCAATGA